CGTGGGTAAAACCCTCACTTCTTCAGATGCAAGAAGTGAGGTTCTTACCCACGAAAGCTTATGCTCCCAATACTTCTGTTAGTCTCTAAGGTGCCACAGGACCCTCTGTTGCTTTTTACAGATTCAGACTAACATGGCTACCCCTCTGATACTTAAAGAATGTCTACTCCCTAAGCAGAGTGTTCAATAAACTATACATTATTTTATACTTGTCTAATGCTAATCTTAAAATTTCTTATTACTAATTTGTTATGCAGTGGCCAAACTAAATTAGCATCACTTGTTTTTTGGAACTCAAGTTGTCACTGAACTATCACTAATGCTGTAACGGGACTATTAAACAGAGTGCAAGGACGGATATACATTTGGTTATATTGCCTGGACTATGAGAGACTGAAAGCCCTTTCTAAATTTTTCATAGAATACATGCCTCAAATTAGATGTTAAAAGAATTAAACACAAGAAAATAGAAAAATAAAGGCTCATTGTTTGCTCATTACCCTCCTTCACCATTTCTTGTTGGTTCTGTCCTCTTACTCTATTTCCAATGTTCTCTTGTTTGTCTTGTCCCCTTCCCTTCTAGCTCTGTCTGGGTTGTCCCACACTGTCTTGTGAGGTAAGTAATTAGAAAGTGCTTTAAAAACCCCCAACCAATTAAACTGTGGATGTTTTTAACTGCCTTTAACTGGGTTAAAACCCAAAAACTAAATTGGGAACTTAAAATGTATCATTTAGAGAGAGATTAGAAAACAACAATCCTAGCTAATGGTGTCATGGATGTTAGTAAAGCACACTTAAAATCTGCAAGCAGGCTAGCTGCTCCATTATGAAAGCCTGAGTTTGACTGTGGAGGCATTATGCTCTGCATGTGGAAGGGAGAGAGTTCCTTGTACAGGGATCTATTTGGCCAATACAGAAGAGGTGTTTATAGCACTTGAATAGAGTATCATCAAGCCATCCTTGCAAGGATTGCTGGCCTGTCACAAGTTCATTGGTTTGAGGGGAGAATGATTAAGGGGACTAATGAGTAATTCTGGGATCTCTGAAAGGGTCCTCAGAGGACCTACTGGGACAGAGAAAGGGAGGCAAAATAAGCAAACCAGCCCTTCTCCTTCTGAAGACTTAATTATAAGAGAAGTCACACTGTTCCATGAAGAATTTAAGCTTGTACGTAAGCAAGCGATTGACTCGAGCTAAAAAAAAACACTGATCTTCTTTGCTAAGTAACAGAAACAATAGGCTTAATAGGTAGCTTGCAGATAGTAAGAGGGTCATGAGAATAGGAGGGCAGAAGTTGTCACATGGGTTGCCAACCCTCCCAGTTTTGCCGGGAATCTCCTGGAATCAGGCTCTATCTCCCGGAGGCTCTGAAGCCAAACCAGGAGATTTTAGGTGCTAAAAGTCTGGTGGTGCAGTGGGGCAAAGGCAGGCTCCCTGGCTCCACACCACTCCCGGAAGCAGCCCGCACATCCCTGGGGAGCCTAGGGGGTCTCTGTGTGCTGCCCCTGCCCTGAGCACCAACTCTGCAATTCCCATTGGCCGGGAACTGTGGCCAATGGGAGCTGTGGGGGCGGTGCCTGTGGGCAGGGGCAGCAGGTGGAGACCTCCTGGCCCCTCTCGCTAGGAGCCATTGCCAGAGGGATGTGCCAGTCGCTTTTGGGAGCCGCCAGAGGTAAGTACCGCCCAGCCGGAGCCCTCACCACCTCTCACACCCCAACCCTCTGCCCCAGCCCAGAGCCTGCACCCCAATTCCCTCCCAAGAGCCTGCACCCCTACCCCCTGCCTCCTCCTGGTGAAAAAGAGGGAGGGTGGGGGAGAGCAAGCAATGGAGGGAGGTGGGATGGAGTGAGCGGGGGGGCATGACCTTGGAGAAGGGGTGGGCTGGGGGGGCAAAGGTGATGGATTTGTGGGATTACAGTTGGCAACCCTAGAGACCATTGTTTCCACTGTTTTACTTTCATAAAGAGTGTCTCAGCTATGATCTTAGAGTTGTTTTCTTATCAAACTGTTGTTGTTTGTCGAAAGACTTAGATAATTAATGCAATATGTGATATTAATTTTGAAACCAGTTTTCCCTCAGGCATTTTAGGCAATTGACTGGTGACAGTTTTGTTTTTGTTTTTCTTATAGCTCTACAGATACAAACAGAAAAAACAGAAAAAACAAGTCATGATGTGCCTTACCTTTCGCCTGGAAAGGTGAATATCTCTTTCAGATAGAGATGGCTGACAAAGCTGGAAAGATCCTCCCAGGACCACTGTACATTGAAGTGGAGTATGATTATGAGTATGAGGCAAAGGATAAAAAGATTGTGATAAAACAAGGGGAGAGATACATCTTAGTGAAAAAGACTAATGATGATTGGTGGCAAGTCAAAAGGGATGAAAATTCCAAGCCCTTCTATGTGCCAGCACAGTATGTGAAAGAAGTAACACGAAAAGCACTAATGCCACCTGTTAAACAATCAGGTGGTCTGCCAAATAGCTCTTTGAAACTGATGCATAGTTTACAGAGGTCGACAGAAAATGTGAACAAATCGCCAGAGCTTTCTAGTTTTGGAAAATCCTCTCCAGTGTCTGGCCTAGTTCGTGATGCCAATCAGAATCTGGGACCAAATAGTAGCTCAGGTCAAAATCTTGGCCTGAGCCTGGACCTTGCCCAAAATAATGGAAAACTTAACAGTGAGTTGCAGTCCCCCAAGGTTTCCAGCCAGTACAAGTCTCTCTCTCTGGGCCATTTCACTTGTCCAGAGTTAATGGAAATCGAGAAGACCAGCTTCTCACATGAACAGTCCTGTGATTCAGCAGGGGAAAGCTCAGAAAAAGTCCATCAGGATTCAGAGTCTGGAGATGAACTCAGTAGCAGCTCCACAGAACAAGTGCAGGTAAGCTTGAAAAGTGGATTTTTTTCTTTCTCAATTATACATCTTTGATGTAGTTTACTACTGTTTTTAATTTGCTTCCTAAATAGAAAGAATTGGAAGATTTGAGGTGAAATCTTCATTTCATATTTTTCATCTCATCTAGCATGGCATTGATTTGTCAAGTTAGAAAAATTGGCATGTATGGGGAAGCGAAAAATAAGTTTTATTTGTAACAAAAAGTACTTTGCTTTGTACTCTTATTCTCATTACAGTGTCCATGGAAATGAATGGCATAGAAGAACTTCAATTAGAACTGTCTTTTTTTCAGTGTTCAACGTGTAATTGGAGATGTGAATTTAAGTAGTTCTTAGTGACTCTTCCCTAGAGGAAGCAAGCCCAGTGCTGTTAATTTCAACTTCTGGGTTCACTGAACTTTAGTCCAGATGCATGTGATGGTCACTAGCCACTGTCATTGATTTCTTATGTATATTGTATGTAGGTAATATTGTATGTAGGAAGTATGGAAAGGTGAATGTAATTAATGGCTTAGTGGCTATGAAATGGTACTTTTAAAGTTAATGTTGACACTTAGTGTGAAAATATCTCAAGAACATTCCTATCTAGCCTTGAAATTAACTAATGGAAACTGACATATTTGAGTTTTAATTCAGAGATATGCTGAGGTTTGAAAGAAGTAGTGGTGGTAAGGGTGGCTTCTTACCAAAGCCAGTTAGTGACAGCTTTAAAAAAAATTGACTCTTTAGGCTAAAAGGCAAGATACCAGGGTTGCTATACCTTTGGTTATCTTAGTAAAGTCTCTTTTGGCTTACTAGGGAATGGGCTGGGGAGTTCACCAGTTTTTTTTTCTGTAAGGCAGGGCTCTCAAACTCAATTTACCTTAGGGCCAGGGCCAGTCCTCAGAGCTTCTCAGCAGACCAATGATGTCATTGAAGATGGTGTTCAGAAGAGAAAACTTTTATATTGTATTTTTTATTTTGAATTTCTTATAAAGTTGTATGACAGTTTTTATTATTTCTACAATTCTTCGCCTGCCAGAGAGTTTTTAGTGTTTGCCAGACACCTGGCAACACCTCAGTTCGGTTTGTTGATGTTTGGCCTCAGTGACTGAGCAGTTGAAACCTTCAGGATTGCAGCAAGGTGTGCATCAGAAAATTGTGTTCAGTATTTTAACTTGTTTATATTCATTGTGGGGGGAAAAAAGTGACACTGCCTCTATGGCTGACTCTACCCGGCAATTAATTATGCTGCCTCCATGGCTGACTCTGCCTGGCGACTAGTGATGGTATCTCTTTCCCTCTCCCCCAGCCAATGGGAGCTGCGGGGGGCCTGCAGGCAGCATGGCTGCATGCGTCTCTCCTCCACCGGCTGCAGTCGGGAGGTTCTCGAGCTGCAGATGGCCCGCGGGCTGGGACTTTGAGACCCCTGCCGTAAAGACTGCTAGAGAGCCATTGACTGGTAATGGCGATTTGACACTATAGTTGTAGACCATTTGAACCATTAACATAGAAATGGTAAGGCTCTGTGTGCTTTTTCCAGTCTGAGAGGTCACTTTAAACGGTGATATACATTATCTCTGTAATAAATTCTACATTTTCCCACTCTTGCTTTGATACTGTAGCTTGAGTATGTACTGACAAACATTGATAGTAAATCAATTTATCAGCAACTATTTAACACCCAAAAATATTTTAGTTTAAGGATAGTATTCAGATAAGGGTAGACTGTAATTTTAGAAATGAAATCTTGATTATATGGCTGTTAGCTGGAATCAGTTTGCTGAAAAGCCACAGTTAAGGCAATTTTCTTCCACAGCATAACTTGCAAAGCTTTGTTACATTGCTCAGTTAACAAGAACCAGTACAGTTGGTCACCTGGACCGAACACACATACATTTAGATTAGTGGTACATTAATCTAGTATCCTGACTGACAGTGGCCAGTACTAGATGCCTCAGAGCAGGCCTGCACAACTCGTAAAGCGGCGAGGGCCATATTACTCCAAAGAAAACAGCTGAGGGCCGAAACCCCCGGCCCCACGGAAACACCCTGCCCCTCCCCCCCCACCCAGCACCGCCTGGCCCCGTGGAAACAAACCCTCCTTCCCCAGCACCACCCCGCCGAAACAGCTAAGGTTTGGGGGGGGAGGGGGTGTGATACTTTATTAAGAATTTTTCAATTAAATCAAACAATTTTTTAAATTATTTTAATGTTTTTATTAATCATGGAAAAATGAAAAATCTGTTCCGTTGAAAGAAAACATTTGTACTTTTCATAATTACCTTGCAAATTTAATGAGAAATATTACATCTCTTTTCGGCAACAAGCTTGTCGCATTCGGGGGTCATATTTGAAGTGGATATTTTCATAATGTCTTCTAAATGGTTGTCAGTCAGAGAAGAAAGTTGCTTGTTTTTATTCATGTTCATGATGGAAAATGTTTGTTCACATATGTAAGTGCGTCCAAAAATGCTGAACCTTTTCAGTGCAACTTCATTGTCCAGACTTTTGTAGAAGTCCCGCAAGCTGCTTTCTCTGTGCTTATTTCAGTAAACTGCCGAACAGTGAAGTTCAATAACCTCCAACTGCAACTCTAGTCGCACTTCCTCTGGATCCACAGAAAAGGGATCTTCAATCAGCTTCAACTGGATGTCTTCTTCTGTCAAATTCTTCAATCAAAAGAATGATGTGCTTTGCGTATTTTTCTCCTAACTCGGCGTGTTTGTGCTGAGGGATACGCTGTGCACAAGTGGGAAAGTGACACATTTCGCCTTTTGACAGCTGACTTCTGAAAAGTTTCAGTTTCATTTTGAAAGCTTTCACTGCTGCACACATTTGAAATATAAGTTGATTTTTTCCCTGAAGTTGAATGTTGAGATCATTCAGGTGTGCTGTAATATCACGAAAGAAAAAGAGATCTTGATTGCAGGACTCACTTTCAAGCTCTGGGAATTTTATTGGCCCATTTTCTAGGAATTTTGCTACCTCCTCTTTCAAAGCAACGAAACGCTGGAGCACTCTTCCTTGACTCAACCACCTCACTTCTGTATGGTAGATTAAGTCATTGCACTCGGTGTCTACCCCTTCAAGAAAGGCTCG